AAGATGAGTAAGAGTTAGCCAGGCAAAGGGCTAGGGATTGGTTTTCCAGGCTGGGAAAACTCTACTGCCAAAGTAATAGAGAAAGCTTTGTGTCTGTGTAAAAAATGAACAAAAGACAGTGTAATTAAAGCATAAAAAACATCTAAGATGGTGATGAGAGTTGAGAGGGGAGGTAGGCAGTACTTTGTAAATTATATTTGGATTTTAATCAGAATACAGTAGAAGTAAGTGAAAGGATTTAAACAGAGCAATGACATGGATCGATTTACTTTTATTTATTTATTTTTTTTTTAAATTTTTTTAAATGTTTTATTTATTTTTGAGACAGAGAGAGACAGAGCATGAACGGGGGAGGGGCAGAGAGAGAGGGAGACACAGAATCGGAAGCAAGCTCCAGGCTCCGAGCCATCAGCCCAGGGCCCGACGCGGGGCTCTAACTCAAGGACCGCGAGATCGTGACCTGAGCTGAAGTCGGACGCTTAACCGACTGAGCCACCCAGGCGCCCCTCGATTTACTTTTAAAGACACTGCTCCAGCTATTGTTGTGTGAAGAATGAATTGTAAGGGGGAGTAGAAAAGTGAGGCTTATTGGGGCTCCGATGTAGAAGTCCCGGTGAAAGGTACCCTGGCTATGATTGCAACAATGGATGTGAAGAGAAATAGATGGATTCTAAGCATATTCTGGAAGTAGAATATGTAATATGTTCTTCAAACTGACCAGAAGAATTCAAGCTGGGAAAACTACTTATTCTTATATTCCTTCTCCTATTCTTGAATGTTGAATACCAAGCTCTTAAAGAAAACAAACTGTCCTATTGCCTGAGGTAGACAAAATCTGGAACGGCACCTACAGTCCCCTAACCCCATTATTCTTATTCCCCAGGCACTCCCATGGCCTGGAGAGCGTGTATGGAAAGACGCAACGGGCTGTGTGTGCAGTATTAGTGATCCGTCTTAGACAATGGCTAAATGGGCTGGGTTCTAATCACGGTCCCAAGGAAAATATTCAATCTGATCTCTGGGCAGTAAGTGGAAAAGATGTGTTCATAGTCACACTTCAACCCCAAACTCAGATCTTTAAACATGCCTCACCTTTCTCTGTTTGTTGGAAACAAACCTGTTCCTTCTGGTTTATCTGCTCCACAGTTGTTAACATCAGAAGCATGGACTTCTTCCTATTAACTGTTTCAGTCCTAATATTCACCTTTCAGAAAGTGATCCAAAATCTATGATTTTCATGACATATTAAAAAGTCATCTTTATTTTTAACACTCATTACTGCATAATCCTATATTATACTTTTGTGAGTCCATTTATAATTGGCAGATTTCCTTCACTAGAGTATAACCTTCATGAGGGCACAAAATAGAGGTTCACTCTATATTTGTTAGAGAATCAAATGAATAAATGAAGTGTGTTGGACAAAGATTACCAAGATAAAGCTAGGAAAAGGTGGTAGGCATGAGAAGTAATGGATAAAACCAACATTTTACACATTATTTTGTTCATTTTCCTCACCCAGTCATGATAAAATAGAATTGAGAATAATTAAATTCCTAGCCTTGACACCTATAAAGATTGTATTTACAGGTTCTTTCAGAGGCCATGATATTCTCACTTCAGTCTGTCCCAGAGGGAAGCCCTTTGCACTCTACAATTTTTGAGATGAGGAATTTGGCACAGACAACTTGGGTAGAAGGGTGAAGTTCACACACTTGTGACAGAATTGTAATTGTAATTTAAAACTCTTGGATCACATCTGTTGAACCTTCCAAACTGTGAACTCTATCAAAGTAGGAACTCTGTCTTTACATCTACGGGTTGGTAACTATATTTTTCAGGACAAAGTAAAAGTAAAGTCAGCAAGACTCATTAGTTTTCTTGAATTAGCTACTGCCATCACCCCCTGATGTAGTTGAAGACACTTTATTTTGGAGAGATTAAGAAACTTGTCCATAAATAGTAAATGGCAGAACAAGGATTTGAGCCCAATTCTGTCTGAATCCACACCTTGATTTCTTAACCATTATACTAAGTTAAAATGAGTACATTTTGCTACTTAGCAGCAATTTACTCCTACTTCTCAAAGTCAAATCCCTCACAATGGCATTTACAAAAAAATTCCCATTATTCTTAAGATCTGACCAATCTAAATCCCACCACCATCTTTTAGCTGATGACTCATGTACTGATTTTTGAAGATACGGGAAGCCTTTGATTTGAACTTTTAATTCCCCTTCTCTTTAACTTGCCTTCACTCAATATCAGTATCTTACGTGCTTGCTCAGATTTTTTTTCCAATTTCTCTCTAATGACATTTTCCCCACTCATTTCTTCATCAATCTTTGATTTATTCTTTTTTTAAAAATTTTTTTTAACGTTTTTATTTATTTTTGTGACAGAGAGAGACAGAGCATGAACGGGGGAGGGGCAGAGAGAGAGGGAGACAACAGAATCGGAAACAGGCTCCAGGCTCTGAGCCATCAGCCCAGAGCCCGACGCGGGGCTCGAACTCCCAGACCGCGAGATCGTGACGTGGCTGAAGTCGGACGCTTAACCGACTGCGCCACCCAGGCGCCCCTGATTTATTCTTTTATCATTGGCTCCTTCTACCTTTACACCTGGCTCCCCCATTACTCCTTACAATCATAGTTCCAATGCTCTGCTCTTCCTTGAACTAACAACACTGATGAAGATTCAGTTTCTGCCTTCTGTTACTCTTTCTTCATCTCTCACTTCCACTCTCAGAATAGTTTTAACTTCACGGCTTCATATATTAAAATAATTTCAAACTATAATATCTTCCAATGCATCTCATAGGCCTTTGAATTTGTATTGTATACATTGCAAACACTTCAACATGGTGCTCACTTTATGACTTAAATCTAGCATTTTAGCTCTATATCCCACTGAGTGAGTGTGCGTATACATATACACATGTTCAATCAAACACTATGCTATGTCTTTACACATGTTATTATCTCTTTTTGCAATGACTCAATCTCTACCAATCAATAATTCTCCATTATTCAAAGCCTAGTTCAAAGTACCTCATATACTATGACTCTATACTTAATTATATCCTTTGTCAGAAATAGTCTTTCATCGCTCTTTTAAAGCTTGAAACACTTTTCCATTGTATTTATTCACAAATGTGTTATCTGATCACTCTAAATAAAAAGCCCCGTGAAGATAAAGATTGTGTGTAATTAATCAAAACAAAATTTCAAATTTCAGAGGAGTGTACAAAATTATTTTTGAAATCTCAAGGTAACATGTATAGCTTATCAGAATGACTGATCATCACATGTACCTGGTAACCATTATATTCAGAGTCTGTCTATAATCCACATTAGAACCTACAGAAAGATTCTCTAATGTTTCCTTTATAGGGTCTATCATAATAAGAAAGCATTACAAATATAAACAAACTTACACTACTATATTTTATAGTAAGCATATACCCAAATTCTGTAATCCTTGTCTGTACTTACCTCAATCCCTATAAACAGAATCAAGTAAGATTCTGTGTATTTATGTTCATACCTAATTTATTTTGTGTACATGAATTCAGACATTTCACATGAATATGACCCAGCTATGGAAACATACTTCTGTATTTAATTCTTTTTTTATGACCTGCTCTAAATAGGAAACTCTAGGCAAGCAAAAGTATAAATATTTTTTAACTACTGTATTAAATCTTAAGGTCAATAAAGATGATATGCATCTCATGGTATAAGAAAAACCTGGGTGAGAAAATAAAATATTTCATTGTCTTAAGACACCCATTATCCTTGAATACTAAGTCTCCATTATTATACTCAATATAACAAATTGAAGATGTATTCTTAAGACTTATTCAATAAAGTTAAATGCCAATGAAATGTGGCTAAGAGAGGGAATATTTCCCTATTTCTTCAGTAAGATATGTTTCATTTAATAATTAAAGTAAACAAGTTAAATGACTCAAGTACCTTTTCCAAACCTTCTTCCTTCAGGCTGATCACATCCAAATCAAAATCTGTTCGCAAGCCATTGGTTTTATTGAAAGTTATTCTGCCTGTGAGACCTTCCCAATGTGCCTACAGGGAAAGAAAAATGGATTAGTAAAGGAAGAAAGAAAGAAAGAAAAAAGAAAGAAAGAAAGAAAGAAAGAAAGAAAGAAAGAAAGAAAGAAAGAAAGAAAGAAAGAAATATAAAACATTTTTTCACACAAAAAATAACAAACATTATTTTCTTCTCCTAAATTGACATCACTACTAATTTTTAAAACATTTTTTTCTCTTCTGAACTTTAGAGGATTTTTTTTTCTACAGAAATTATCTTAGTCACAATGCAGAATTTATTACAAATTTTTCATTTTAAATAGTGCCCTTTGTAGGTATAACTTTTTATGAGAAATTTGAAGATAACGTTTTAAATAGCAAACTTCCTTCAGCGAACTGACAATAATTTAGTTACGTATTATAATAAATGAGACAGTGAATGTCTCACTGGAGATTGCAAATAGAATTACTATTATAAAATACCACTCCTAAATTCATACTAATATGAACATAAACTTATTTTATTACAAGGAAAGAAAATGAATTTAGGAAAACCTATGTTATACAACTTCAATTATGCACTTTCCTCTTAGAATAATTAACTTATTACTTTATTTTCCCTTAAGTGAGACTGGGAGAAATATATCCAAATTACTTCATATCTAGCTATACTTCATGTAAAAAGAGCTTTCCATGTAATAGGAAGTGGAAATAAAATTTTCCAGTTATACAGTGGGTTCACCCATCACAGGTAAACAAATTTTTGAGCTTTAGTTTTAATATAAAAAGTTTTCTCATTCTGCTAGCTACATAGACAAACTAATGTTTTCATTTTGTCATTTAGAAATAGTTTAGAAAAATAGTTATATATGAAAACTTTAAGTAATGTATACTTACAGTTAAATGTTTGAAAGAATATACACCAAGATCCAAACAAATAAAACCAAATAGATTTTAGGTAACATTTCAATAAGCACTACAAATGGATATCATTATTACATTTCTTAGGTTCCGTGTATTTCTATACTTCTGTATAGGGATCCCAAAACAGTTTTCGGCTGATAAATTACAAATAAAACAGAAAATATTACAATACATATCTACATACATATTACAACATGTCATCACTGAGTTTAAACATGTGTTAACCAGTCTCCAATAAGGAAGAAAAAATATTGTTAACCCAAAATCTTCCAAAAATAATAACCTCAGGTGATTAACAAAAATGCATATTAGTACAAAAATAGACATTGTGAGCAATAAGTACTGGGGCGCCTGGGTGGCTCAGTCAGTTAAGCATCTGACTTTGGCTCATGTCATGATCTCGCAACCGTTTGTGAGTTCGAGCCCCGCGTCGGGTCTGTGTTGACAGCTCGGAGCCTGGAACCTGCTTTGGATTCTGTGTCTCCTTCTCTTCCTGGCCCTCCCCAGCTCACACTCTGCTTCTCTCTCTCTCAAAAATAAATGAACACTAAAAAAGTACAGAAGTAGAAGCGTAGGATAGTAAAACAAATCTGGGATAAAGGCAGTATAAGGAAACGCTCATCAGGTGAAAATGCACAACTAATAACAGTGAATCACAAATTTAACTCTGACCTTCCTAGTGACCAAAGCAATGAAGAAAATGTGATCTAAACACAATACATAGGGTCCATATTTTAAGACATACCAACTGCCCAGGAGAAGCAACTTTTCATGGCAGTGAAACCTGAGGGGAGTGTCTCCTGTTGGTCCTCATAAAGAGGCACACTGTGTGATTTAATGGACAAGGTCCTCAGCAACACCTTACAACAAATATAATAGTGAGTTTCATACAACTGTTTCTTATATGACTGTTGAACACACATCTCAGTACTCAGATGCTGCATTCAGAAAGCATTTCTTCAACTAGCCAAGTCTGTGCACTGTTTGCAGCCCTCTGATGTTCAGTTTTAAACCAGATGTAAATGTAGAATGTGAAACAAATAAATGAACTACATATTCTTCAGGGAGTGTCATTTCACCTATCTGAGAATATGTTAAAAATTACACAAGGAAAATTCATAGGTATTCTTTGCCAAGGAACTGGAGATTCTTTAAAAAAATTTTTTTTAATGTTTTTATTTATTTTTGAGAGAGAGATAGAGAGACAGAGACAGAGACAGAGAGAGACAGAGAGAGAGAGAGAGAAAGAGAGAGAGAGAGAGAGAGAAAATGGGGGAGGGGCAGAGAGAGAGGGGGACACAGAGTCCAAAGCAGGCTCCAGGCTCTGAGCTGTCAGCACAGAGCCTAATGCCAGGCTCAAACTCGCAAACTGTGAGATCATGACCTGAGCTGAAAATTGTTAATTTTGCTTGTACGGAGGAAGAAAGTAAGTTTAATTAAAAGATAAAAGTTCACCTGTGAAGAAAACTGAACTAATCTCAAATCATTCACCTTGAGGACAAAAGAGAATAGGCACATGTGCTTCTCCTGACATACCTCTTTGATTAGGCTCATAAAACGGGTCCCAAAGCGCCAGGGTTTGTGTCTATTACACTGTAAGGAACTGACTGTCATCTGGGGAAACTGTTGGACGCCCACAGACACCACGTGCACAGCATCATACATTAGAGCAGCGTCAGTCTGAAAGTCAAGAAAAAGGAAATATGGAGTCAATACAACATGTGAAACCCATGACAGAAGGTTTGGAAGGGGAGAGAAGGAAGAGGTAAGAGAAACAAATACTCAGTTTATCTTTATGTAAGTGAGACAACAGTATTTCCAATGATCTGGTTCTCTTAAATAAGGTATTGTTATCAATTACTATATCAGCTCCATTAGAACATTTGACCTATCCTCCCTTTCCTGAAGTAATAACCCAATTTCATATTGTCCTAGTATCTTTGTTGAAGTAGGAAATGTGTGAAGACATTCATTATTTTATTTTTTTGCCACCCCCTCTGTCTCTGTCTTACTCTGTCTCTACACACACACACACACACACACACACACACACACACAATGAATGCAATTAGGAACATTTTAAATGATTAAATAAATTACATATTGTATATAAAAGTAAATAAACAATTTTCTTGTATAGGAAGAACAAAAGAGATTTGAAAGGAGATTCACCTAAAAAGCTTCCTTATAACCCCCTGATCTTTTCTTCAATTTAATTTTTCAGAAGATTCAATCTCAGAAATGAATGCTACTGTTTTGAATCTCAATACATGTATTAATCCCTTTTTAAGAAACTAAGCTTAATCCCCTGTCCTGTTTTCTTTTCCCCCAAATTTCCATATGAATAAAAGTTCATTTTGTCTTCTCAAGTAAAACGAATATGAATTCTGTGTTTGCACCTGCTCAAATGACTGTCCACTTTAGAAACTGATGATAAAAAATAAAATGTTTGTAAGTCGAAACAAACCAGAGGCTCCATGACTGTCAGCGGCTGTGTTAAATGGAGCCTCACACTGTGTTTGACGGATGGATGCCAGGCTCACTACCTACAGAAGAGGGCCACACTGATAGTACTGCTAGAAATGAACTTTGGGCCATCTGCTTGGCATGTTTCGGAATAAAAGCATATATTTCCTCTTCTCATTCACACAATTAGTGAGCTGTGAAATGAATTCCAAAATGGATAGGAACCCTGTAGATTATAGCGTTTGCCACAATACAATACAAAATGAGTACACACAGTAGCTTTCATGCAAATGGATCCTAAGGAGCTTTACCACATAAAATGCAAGACGGCTAAAGAGCACAATGCAATGACAGAACATAATAATAATGCCATTTTATAGTTCATAAATCTTTGGGGAATATAGCTCAGATTCATAACCTTCACTTTGTAAATACCAGCTGACTACTTTCGCATACTCTGATGGCTGCAAAGTGAAAAGAGAATCATGGAGTTGATACAGGCATACATCATGAGCCTGAGGATTAGACTGATATTTGTCTTTGGCCTGAAGTAACATTCAGGGGACATATCTTATACAGCACACAGGTGGTCATAAAAACAGTTACCACAATATGAAAGACACATTTGATTTTAAAATAAAATAAATTAAAAAAAAATATCACCGTTAACAAAGGTGGAGAGGAATGAACACTTTCAAACACTACAAAGATAAAGGGCAATTTTGCAACTTGCAAAAGAAGCCTTAAAAATATCCATGTTCTTTTTAACCCAGTAATTTCTTTCTGGAATTTCCCATAAGGATATCAAAGATAAGACAAAAGCTACATACATGATTTATTTTTATTTATAAAGTGGAAACCTACTGAATGTTCAAATTAAGGACACACAATAAAATCACAATGATATTACATATAACTAAAAACTATGTTTTGAAAAATAATCAATTAGATGAGAAATTGCATGTGATATGATGCTAAGTGTAAACACTGATGATAACAGAGCTGTATGTCCAGCATAAACTATTATACATCTTCATGTACTTCATTATGTACTATTTAATTTATTTAATTCTCACAATAATGGTTTAATAAAAGCACCACTATTGTTCCCATTCATCAATTGACAAAACCAACTTTGAGAGATGTTAAGTAACTAGGCAAAGTCACAGTTATTAAGTGGAAAGACCCAGATTCAAACAGACTCTCTGCTCATAGCTAGTATTCTTAACCACCATATTACATGTTACATCAACAACAGCAGATCAAAAAGAAAAAAATACACCAAAATGAAACCAATAATTACTCTTGAAAGTTAATAATTAATGGAACTTAATGTTTTCTTTTTATGTATTTTTCTACAGTTTTTTTTTAAATTAGAAGATTGATGAATACCATTCAATAATTCTCAAGATGAAAATTTTTATCTATTCCCACAAAAGTAACTAAAAGAACATCAATACAATATTACTACCATCCTGCCATGATTTACTTATGTGATCTTATATGACTTACATGATCTTATATGACTTATATGAAAGTCCTAGAATAGTAATCTTATCTAAAATGGCAATGCTGAGAAAGTATTTTACTAATTTAAGAGTTCAAAAACTGTTTTTGCAACAGAGTTTCAGTGTCAAGATCAGAGGACACTCTAGCTGATAATAAAACTATTTAAGAGCTGTGATTTTAAATGTAATTATAAAAGATAATAAATAATAAATTTAAAAATAAAAGATAAACGAAATTTTAAAAAGAAAGATAATATTTATTAAATATAAGAGAAATATTGGAGAAAAAAGTATAAGTACTTAATTTGCTAATCAAATTATTTCTTGAATTTCCAGTTTAAAATATGCTGATTTATGATAAAGTAATACACAGAACTTCTGAAACTACTCTCTACTTATTTATTGTTGTCCTACTTTTAAATTGGTTGTTTTATGTAATAATGAGATATTTTCCGTATATACCTGATATCCTGTCAGACTCAACTTCACTGTCTTACTTACAAATCTATATGTACACAAATTCTTTCACCTTTGTAAAGTTGTGAGAAAACTCTAGTGTTTCAAAAATGTTTTTCTTATTTTCACAAGAATGCATATGCTTGAAAATGTGTCTTATACTACTAATAGCATTAGTTAACACTCATTTAGTATTCAGTATGTATGAGGCATTCCCTTTAAACCATTCCCTTTAATTCTCATAGCCATCATCTACTTGAAATCCACTGAGTTTGTATTAAGTAGAAAATTAAGTCAAGGAACAGTTAAGTAACTGGCCTAAGTTCCTAGCATGTTGAGGTGGAGATGGATCAAATCCATACAATCTATGCAGAGTTCATATCTTTCTCTTTTTTTTTTTTTGCTCAGAGTTCTATATTTAATAAAGCAAAATAGTGTAAATGCTTTTGAAGTTACAACATGAAATATCAATAAGTACTTGAATGCATTAATCCATATTATTTTTCAATAAAGCAGTAAATACTCGAGACCCACTTGGAAGATGGTGGCGAAGGAGGATGCTGGGCTCACTGCGTCCTGCTGATCATGTAGATTCCACCCACATCTGCCTAAATAACCCAGAAAACTGCCAGAAGACTAGCAGAATGGACTCTCCCCAGCCAAGCGTAGATGAGAGGCCCACGGAAGAGGGTACGAAGGGCGGAGAGGTGGTGCGCACTACACAGACTGGTGGGAGGGAGTCAGGGTGATGGAGGATCAGCTTGATGGGCAAGGCAGAGCCCCAAAGTCTGGCTTGCAAAAGCAGAGGGGCCAGACAGAGTGTGTTCTGACAGCCAGTGGGACTTAACATCTGGAATGTTATAAGTCAACAGCTCTGGTCGGAGAGCGGGAGGGAGAGTTGTTGAGCCCTGGAGGACAGAGCTCAGCTTGGCGGGGAACAAAGGCACTGGGAAGCCCCATGTCCCTCGCCAATTCCCCAGCCAAAATCCCAAAGGGAACCAGTTCCCGTCATGGAACTTGCTTGCACAGCTCAAACACCCAGCGCTGTGCTTCTGAGGATCCATTCCTCCCACGGGTCTGCCTCCCTATGGTTGCCTCAGGGCCCCTCCCGAAGCAATTACTGAAGGCAAAGCAAGCTGAGCCTGCCCCTCCTGCCCCTGTGCACTTCAAGATCCACCCTGGCTAATACGCCAGATCCCATCAAAGCAGTACCACAAGACCGGCAGTGTGCAAGTAGCCCAGACAGAGGCCACACCACTCCACATTGAGTCCTGCCCCTGGGATAGGGGAA